GCACACAGAGCCCTGACAGTTGTTCCTGCAACCTGACAAGCAGGCACAAGCCACGCTAAGACCAAGAAAACAGAGATGGTAGTTTTTTTCATGATTACGGAATATTGCAAAGGTTTGCATATAGACACATATCTGTCATAGGCCATGGCTGCCAACACTAAAAATTCTGAAGCTCCTGAAGTGTAAAGTACAAAATACTGAAAGTGACACATTGTGTGTGATATAATCTGTTTTTCAGATAAAACATCAAGCAAAAACTTTGGGTAGATGGTTGTGCAAAAAAAAGTAGAGTTAATCAGCAAAACTGCAATAAAAATATACATGGGCTCATGAAGGCTTTGATGAAACACAATAAGACGAATAATGGTGGAATTAGAGAAAATTACTGCAGCATATATTGTAAAAATCAGAAAATAGACATATCTGTACTTTTCCACCTCTACATACCCATTAAGTGTTATGCAAGTTAAATTTAGTTTATTGTCCATTGAGTTACCTGGCTGGGAATTGTATTTACAAGATCCTATCCACAGTTCTAATGCGTCCTGCTCTGACCATGCAGTATGTTTTTAATCACTCTACTTCACCCTCCACGGATTTCAGCAAACCCTCCACCACAACATGCATTCATGTGACCTTTTTTAAACTGTGAAGAGTTGTTTTGACTTTAAGGCAGCTTTGCAGTCCAGAAGTTCAGTGTCTAATAAACAGTGGCAAAGATACCCCAAGTCAGCATGCAAGTAGTGTGGCTAAATTGTAATTCTGTTTCTGCACATTAAGTAATAGAATCAAAATTTACTTCAAAGCTCGAAATTATTATACCATCTACTTAAGGTGCTTTGACAATTGATCTCTTAGGGTAGTAATCAGAATCAGAAGATTTTATTCATCACCAAGGGGCAATTAACAGACAACCGAGCAGCATAACGTTGACGATAAGGACAGTAAGAACAGGGTATAACAGTGAGATAATAAATGCACAGAATATACAGTATATACAGTTTTAAAATTAAAGTGAGTGAAAAAACTTTTCAGCTGACTGGCCGGTGGACCGCACGAGTAGCGACCCGGAACCAGTATCCAGAAAAAGAAAAGAAAGTAAAGAAAAAAGAACAACCAAAACTTGATTAACCTATTCAGTCTTTCATGAGAAAAAACTAGGAGGCTTAGGTCCACTAAAGTGAAACTCAGTCTACTCAGATAAAAGTTCTGTAGTATCACATCAACGTTCAGTGAGAGACTGAAATTACCAAAAACCACTGAACGACACAGGAAATCATTCCTGCCTGTGGCCATCTCCCTGTAGAACTCCTCCGTCTAATACACTGTAAACACTGCAAAAGTTACATCCTTTTGCACACACTCTTTTCTTACTCTGTAATGTTGCCGTCTATTTTCTTGATATTTATTTGCAATCACATCTGGATATTTATTATTTGGTGATTTGTATATATTGTGCTATTCCTTAGATCTTAAGATATTCTATTGTTAATAGTCTAGTCTGTTTTTGTTTTTGTTATTGTTTTTTCTAATGTCACTGTACTGGAGCAACCCGTAACCCACATAATTTCACAAGGGATTAATAAAGTATGCTGATTCTGATACTGATTTAAAGGGAGCGTCTTTGTTAAAGTCTTCTCATGGATTTTCCAACACAGAGCTCCTGGGTGGTAATACTCTATCAGTCCCAGAACTGGATTCAGTTGGGCAGCGTGGGGTGAGAACTGAATAACTGAAGAATGCAATGGTTTTTAGATTTCATTGGACTGTCTTGAACAAAGTGGATGATAACAAAGAGAGGGAAGGTAGTCAGAACTGAGGGGATGGAACTACCAGAAGGCAACATTGCAAACATTGAAGACAGCTACAAGTACCTGGGGATCTCACAGGCAAATGGGAACCATGAAGAGGCTGCTAGGAGAGCTGCAATCACCAAGTACCTGCAGAGGGTCAGGCAAGTCCTGAGGAGTCAGCTGAATGGTAAGAACAAGATCTGGGCTATCAACACCTACGCCCTGCCCTTGATCAGGTACCCTGCTGGCATAATAAGTTGGCCAAAGGTGGAGATAGAAGCCAGTGACATCATGATCAGGAGACTCTGACCATGCATGGAGGGTTTCACCCCAAATCCAGCACCCTGAGGCTGTATGCTAAGCAAAAGCAAGGACTGGTGTGTCAGCACCACAGTCCAGGATGAGGCAGCAAACATTGAAGAATACATCAGGAAGATGGCCCTAACCAACCACATGCTCAGGGAATACCTCAGGCAGCAGAAACCCGAGAAAGAGGAGGCACCATCATAGAGGGACAATAGGATAGAGGAAGTGGCTGACATCCAGAAATCCTACCAGTTGCTGGACAAAGCTGGACTAAAAGACAGCACAGAGGCACTAATCATGGCAGCACAGGAACAAGCTCTGAGCACAAGACTGATAGAGGCTGGGGTCTATCACACCAGGCAAGACACCATGTGCAGGCTGTGTAAAGATGCTCCAGAGACAATCCATCACATAACAGCAGGATGCAAGATGCCTACACGCAGGGTATACATGGAACACCATAACCAAGTGGTTGGCATGGTATACACAAACATCTGTGCCAAATATGGCATTAAAGTCCTGAGGTCAAAATGGGAGATGCCCCCTGGGGTGGTGGAGAATGACCGAGCTAAGTTCCTGTGGGACTTAGATGCAGATGCAGATGGACAAAATGGTGGTGGCTAACCAACCGGACATAGTGGTGGTAGACAAACAGAAGGAGACGGCCATAGTGATAATTCCTAATTTCCTTCGGGATTAATAAAGTATTCTGATTCTGATTCTGATAGAGGTAGCGGTTCCCAATGACAGCAACATCAGAAAGAAGGAACACGAGAAGCTCGAGAAATACCAAGGGCTCAGAGAAGAGCTTGAGAAAATGTGAAGGGTGAAGGTAACAGTGGTCCCAGTGGTAATCGGAGCACTAGGTGCGGTGACTCCCAAACTAGGCGAGTGGGTCCACCAGATCCCAGGAACAACATTGGAGATCTCTGTCCAGAAGAGCGCAGTCCTAGGAACAGCTAAGATACTGTGCACGACCCTCAAACTCCAAAGCCTCTGGTAGAGGACCGGAGCTTGAAGGATAGACCGCCCGCAGGGGTCAGCGGGGGAATTTTTTCCATGTATGCTATATATAGGCTTTATTTATAGGCTATAAATAAAATAATGTATGAAAAGACATTCGTAATGCACAAGCTTGATGTCCTTGTTTTTGTTAAAGTTTTTTTTAATTATTATTTTTATTATTATTATTATTTAGTATGGTAGTTATCCAAGTTTTTTTTTCACTGAAAATGTACACAAGGCATAAAACCACACCACCTAACTGGAAACCAAATAAAAACTCCTTATGAAATAAGATATGGACCCGAGTGCAAAAAAGCCAGGATACACTCAACAATAAAATCTTGCTACATTATTAAAATTCTATACTAGATTAATAGAAGTTGGCTGATCATTGTCATTGTTAGCTGCAACTTATGATCCATTAGCTCTAACTACTAAAGCCTCAAGTAAAAGAGGCTGAACAATGATGTAACTGACTTTCACAGTTCAGCTCCCTCAAGGTTGAAGCAAACCAATAAAACTCTTCTTCAGTCCACATACATATGATTCACTATAAGCATTTGATTGATGAGTGTACTTGTATTTGAAGTTCTGATATCTTTATGCTGCTATATATTTATTTTGTAGCATTTTTTTTAATTCATGGATGAGGAGTTAAATACCACATATGTAACTCTAGATGGATACATTGAGGTTAACAAGTACAGATATGTTTATTTTTGTATTATCTTTACATTATACATTATAATAATATGCAGTAATTCTACCATCGTGTATGTGATCTGGATTCATAAAAACCTTCATGAGCCTATGTACATTTTCATTGCAGCTTTGCTGCTGAACTGTCTCCTTTACAGCACAACTATTTACCCAAAACTTCTGATTGACTTTTTATCTGAAAAACAAGTCATAACATATTCAGCCTGTCTCTTTCAGTTTTTTATATTTTACACTTTAGGCAGTTCAGAGTTCTTTCTCTTGGCAGCCATGGCTTATGACAGATATGTGGCTATTTGTAAACCTCTTGAATATCCAACTATCATGAACAAAACCACTGTGATCATTTTCCTGGTCGTATCTTGGCTTATACCTGCTGTTCATATTGCAATCCAAGCAATAGGGAGTGCTGAAGCAACATTGTGTAACTTTAATTTAAAGGGAATATTTTGTAATAATGCAGTTTACACTCTTCTGTGTGTAAAGTCAAGATTAATTATTGTATTTGGAGTGGTTGCTTTAATAGATCTTATAATACTTCCTGTGCTCTTCATAGTTTTCACTTATACGAACATTTTTATCATCTCATATCAAAGTTGCAAAGAAATTAGGAAGAAAGCTGCAGAGACCTGTTTACCCCATCTGTTAGTTTTAATCAGTATTTCCTGTTTAAGTATCTATGATGTAAGCATAGCTCGAGTGGAATCAGATTTTCCAAAAGCTGCACGATTACTAATGACATTACAAATAGTGCTCTATCATCCATTGTTTAATCCATTCATTTATGGGCTCAAAATGAAGGAAATTTCTAAACAGCTAAAAAGATTCTTTTGTCATGCCAGAATCATCGTGTATTAACTATCAATGCTAATGTGCCTTAATTGTTATGTAATCAGTTTGCTGAAATTACTGAAAACACTTTTTAACATAATCAAAAAGTAAAACATAAAAATGTCATTTTTACTTATTTAATTATTCATAAATTATTGCTATGATTTACTGTTGGTGTATTAAGTCCATACTGATAATAGGACAAACATGTTCTAAGTTTATTTTGTAAATATACTATTCCTCAACAAGTTTTTCTTTAGTTTCTCATAATTACAAGTCTAACAGAGTAATCAATCTTTTTAACGAAAACGTATATGAGCAAAATAAATGACATTAGTTTTAATTCATTTCACACAATTCTTTTTTAGTTTTTTCAAGTTGTATGTTGCTGTACTCAGTACATTGCTCATCTTAACGGGATGTAATACCTACAGTTTCAGAGCTGCAGAGTTTTGGTAAGTTACAACCTAGGAGCTTTTGGGAAGCAATTAATGAAAAATGTATGCAGTTGTCTTAACATAAACATATCCATTCTGCCATAGGTAAAATGATAGGTAATTAAGTCTATTTTCAGATTAATGTTTTTAAACTTTTGTATTTCTTCATTTTTACATTATTTCTTATTTAGGATATGCTAGTGGAACATAGTGAAACATAGATTCTCCACTAAAGGAATAAGTGGTAACACTTTGTAACTGTTGCCCAAGGACCTGCATCTTCACCACTTGTCACATTTTATTGGTCAGTGTGAGTTATTAACCAAACAGATGTATGTAAATTAAAAAAAAAGAAATGTAAAAATGTACCAATCTCATAAACCCACAATATTATTAACA